AAGCTGTCATTTTTCCTTTTTATGAGTCCAAATGTGCACTGCTTTCTCCATGTGGAAACCCTAGCCTGTGAAAATAACTCAGAAGCCAGTCCAGAATCAATGAACTCTTTAGAGCTCCAGCAGAGGCAACTGCAAATGCAGTCCTATTAGATTTGTTTTTGTTTCCATTTTTGTCTTTTTTTTTTTTTTCAACAGACCATCATGGACCTTTTATGAAGACAAGCTCATGGGCAAAAATTGCAAAACACTTAAGTATACACACCACCCTAAAGTCAACCAGTAGGAGCAACAAAGTAAACTGAAAAGCCGAATAAAATAGACAACAGATCTTAAAGGGAATTTAAGAATTTCTAAGCTATGGAAAGATTAAAAAAAAAAAAAGAATTTCTCAAGAGAAAGAAAAACAACAGAATTTTCAATAGAACCAAATAGAAATGCTAGGAAAGAAAGAAGAGTCACTGAAATGAGAAACAAAAAGAAAAAAGGAAAAAACCTCAACAAAGTAGGGAGTAAACTAAACATAGCTAAGGAGAGACTTAGTGACTTGGAAGACAGATCTAGGGACTCACCTGGAGTGCAATATAGAGAGTTAATAAGATATAAATGGCTCAGATGGTAAAGAATCTGCCTGCAATGCAAGAGACCTGGCTTCAATCCTTGGTTGGGAAGATCCTCTGGAGAAGGGAATGGCTACCCACTCCAGTATTTTTGCCTGGAGGCATCCACAGATGGAGGAGGGATACAGTACATGGGTTCTCAAAGAGTTGGAGATGACAGAATGACTAGTGCACAACACTGAAAAAGAACATAAGTCACAAAAAACATAAAGAGGATAGAAAGAGAGGCTTTGATGTGATTGGATCCTCAGAGGAGAGAATAGAGAGTTCACTGAAGATCAGTATATGTTCTCATAAAACATTCTTTGGTATTTTGGTCAGAGATTTAAGACTGTGTTCCCCGGTGGCTCAGACGGTAAAGCGTCTGCCTGCAATGCGGGAGACCTGGGTTTGATCCCTGGGTCGGGAAGATCCCCTGGAGGAGGGAATGACAACCCACTCCAGTACTCTTGCCTGGAAAATTCCATGGATGGAGGAGCCTAGTAGACTATAGTCCATGGGATTACAAAGAGTCAGATACAACTTAGCAACTTCTCTCATAAGACTGTGTTAGATAAGCCTTGAGAAATCTATTATTTATTTTCTGTTTTAATTTTGACTGGTAGAATCCACACTGATTTACATATATTATATACAACACTGTACTGAACTGTGACCAGGCAAGACAATCCTAGAATGCCTGGCAGTTTTTCTCAGTGGAGTTTTACTGTGCTCACTGTTCTCTGTTACAGCTGCTGGTGTAGAGAAAAAAAGCAAGTAGCCAAGTAAGGTGCTAATAGAACCAACGTCTCTGGGAGACCAGCCAGCTGCCCAGTTTCTAAGGGTAGTAGTATGCTTCCCTCATAGCTCAGTTGGTAAAGAGTCCGACTGCAATGCAAGAGTTCTGGCTTTGATCCCTGGGTCAGGAAGATCCCCTGGAGAAGGAAATGGCAACCCCCTCCAGTATTCTTGCCTGGAGAATCCCACGGACAGAGGAGCCTGGCAGGCTACAGTGTATGGAGTCGCAAGAGTCAGACACGACTGAGCGACTAAGCGCAAGTGTGCAAGCTGGAGACTACTCTGGCCAGTTGCTGCTGCCTGAGCTGCCAACTTCCTTGGCTTGTGAGGCTGGAGGCTCCACCTCCATGCGCTCTGGGCAAAGCAGAAAGGAAGCATGAAGGCCGGTCTGCACGCGTGCCCGTTCACCCTCTCCTTTCCACTCTCCCTTCTTTCTGGGGACTGCAGCACCAGGGCGCTCAGACATCGGCTTCTCTCCCTGTAGATTTAAGGAATTTCATTTATTCCATGTCACAGAGAGAAAAGGGGACTGTGATTTCTTTTTTTGTTTGGTTTTCTACTCTCTAGTGTACAACACTGGTATAGCAGTGTCCGTTAATATGGGGAAGCATGGCTTAGTCATAAGGAATGTGTGCCTTAGGAATAAAATGACTGACCTCAGTTCAGATTCTGTCCTGCTAATTATTGGATGACTTTGGAAAAATTCACCTTTCTGTGTTTTAGTTTCTCCACCTGTAAAATCAGGTAGAAAAAAAAGACCTTCTGTAACATTATATTGAAATCATTTAATTGGTAGTTAAGAAAAATTAGTCCTTGACCTCCTGCTGTATTACTATATAGGTACCAGATGCAGACATTCCATCTTGATTTCAAACACTATATTCTACCTTGTCATCAAACCATAGGGCCAATTTGGGGTTCATAACAATACAGTGACCATGGATGTGGGGTTCTGAAGAAGGCCAGGAAAAGGGAAAGGAAGACGTGCTCGGCAGTCACCTCGGTTCATCCTGGCCCACTCCCGTGGACCTGCGAGCTGTGGGCAGAAGAGACTCCGTTATTGCAGATATCTGGAGCCCATTGAACTCAAGTGGCCTGAGAGGACGAGGAAGCAACCAGCTTAGTATCCTCTGACCTTAGCCATGGGAGACCATGATCTGAAGTTTGGGAGTAAATCAACCCACAGTCCTGATTTCTGTCTAAGAGCAGGATGTTGTAGGTTGTCTCTTCCACACATGCACACACACCCCCACCCCCACCCCCAATCTTACTCTCTTCTTTTCTTTCCCCTCTCTTTTATCCCTCCCCTTTTCTTTTCCTGCCTGGCCCTTTTTGGTTCCTTCCCCTTCTTTATCTAAGAATCTCTCTTCTCTGTGTTCCAGCCTGCCCTCTGTCCTTGGAGGCATTATTTCATCCCTGGGTGGCTCTTGGACAGAAGATGAACCAGTGTATTGCCCTATGCTCTGTCACATGGCTACCAGTAAAAAAAAAGAAGCAGCTCCAGGCTTCCTTTAGATGGGATAAAGAAGCTACACCAGGCTAAATGCAGAAACAGTACCCTAGTAAACAGGCACCCTAAAATTCCTGGCCTTCCACCCAAGACCCTACAATCTTGGCTCTGCAGTATCTTGATCTCGTGATTCAGGACTGAGGCAGCTATTTCCATGGGTTGTATCTTCTGGCTATAGGGGAGCAAGTGCAGCTTTGCAAAATGGATGAGCTTTTTATCTCTGTCCTGTAGGGGTGTGGTGGGAGTAGGGACCGTCCAGGATCATTTCGAATTCCAAGTCTGGGGGCAGGGACGGCACGACCTTAAAAGGTGAGGCTGTGGAACACTCCATTAGCTTTCATGACTATTCCTGCTTTCACACCACCTTGCTCATCCGTTGCCCTCATTAATGGTACACATGCGTGCATAAGCATGCCTGCATTTGCTGTTGCAGAGCTGGAGAAATGCAGAGTGGGTTGCCCTCCCCACATGAGATATAGCAGTCCACATGGCCTTGACCCTCTTGGGTTTAGCAAGTGGCACCAACTCTAGGGAATCAATTAGTAAGAATTTACTTATTTTAATTCATTTCTTTTTGTCCTTTTGAAAGTAACATATAAATAATTTGTGGGTTGATGTAGGTAACAGTTGCACCAAGAGAAACAAGAAAACAAGGGAAAAAAATGTATCACTTGTATCCTTGGGAGTGGATCAGCCATAGTGGACATTTTCATGTGTTTCAAACTTTTTTCTTGCTCATTTTTAGGCTTAAAAAATTGTTATCATTTAATTTTACAATCTGCCTTTTCCTTTCAAAATTATAGCACATATTTCCCTATCATTACAAGTGCTTTTTAATGGCTTTGAGATATTTCCTTGATGGATATAACACCATTTATTTAACTGTTCCCAGTTTTTGAAAATGTAGGTTGGTTCAACTTCCTGCTATTATAAATACTGCAGAGATCAGTTAATACTGATCTCAGATTTATAAGAGTGCCTTGAGAGTCTCAAGTAGTAAAGAATCCGCCTGCCAGTGCAGGACTCACGGGTTTGATTCCTGGGTTGGGAAGATACCCTGGAAAAGGAAATGGAAACTTATTCCAATATTCTTGCCTGGAAAATCCCATGGACAGAGCCAGGCAGACTATAGTCCATGGGTCACAAAGAGCTGGACATGACTTAGTGACTAAAAAACTACAAGTTGAGATTCTAGTATGTGTCAGTCCTTGACTGGGTCCTATGTACAGGGTCCATGGAGTCAAGGAATTTATAGTGTAATTTGGGGGCTAAAAACAGAGTTTTGGGTCAATCCTGAGCTCTTTGCTTTCACCTATTCAGATTGGCAAAGTGAAATATATATTATACTGCTGAATTTAAAATGAATAAGAGCAGAACTAAGAGGGGTGTATATATATATATATATATATATATGTCATTATTGATATTCAACAATTGGCCTAGACAGAAAATGCATTGTTAATAATTGCAAATATTATGAGGAGATGAAGTTTGAAGAGCAGCTGGTCTAATTTTATCTTGGCTTGGGAAGTATCTAATATAACTGACAATAATCTATACATGTCCCTCTATTTGATTTAAATTCTCTGATTAGAGTTGATTGCTCTTTGTATATCCCAAAATATGCAAAATCCACTTAAGACTACATTCTTTAAATTGCAGCTCACATTGGTGGTTGATTATCTGAATTCCAGTTCTGATTTTTACAGGCCTGCTGAGATTTACTTTTCCCCTTGCTTTCGTTTTTACAGTCAGTTTGAATCTCGTGGGAAAACATTCCTGGAAAAGGGCATGACATTTATAAACCCACAGCAGATTGAAAAATGGTGTTCTCAATTTGTGTGAGTGTGTGATAGGTCATTACTGTAAGATAGGAGTGGAATATACAGAGAGTGGAAGAGGATATAGTTGACTTGAAAGATGCTTTCAGACACTAGGGTTGTGGGGTATTAGGATGAAGTTTGAATGTGCTTCCAAACGAAAGTGTTGGAACTGTGTGTATAGTAGGGACTTCACTAGAGTCTGGGCAGAACGGTCCGAGGGTCCCCAGTCTGCTGCTAGCAGGGACGCATCTCAACCTCGCTCTCTCCTTTCAGATTGATGACCCCAACAGCAGCCTGGAGGAGGTGACGGATGAGGCCGAGGCCGTCAGGTCTGTGAACAAACTGGGGAGCAACCAAGCCTTGAATGCAGATTTCCTGGGTTCTGATTACCGAACCGGGCAGCTCTACCCCTTCTCCCTCAGCAGTGACCCCCACTCGGCCACCTTCACGCTCACAAACGCGGCTCCGATGACCCCGTCCTTCCAGGAAAGGTGGTACGTGAACCTCAACAGTCTGATGGAGCGAGCTCTGACCCCGCAGTGTGGCAGCGGGGACGACCTCTACATCATCACAGGCGCCGTGCCCTCAGACCTCAAGGTCAAAGACAGAGTGAGCATCCCGGAGTTCGTCTGGCTGGCGGCCTGCTGCGCAGTGCCTGCGGGAGGCTGGGCCATGGGCTTTGTCAAGCACGCCGGGGACCGGGAGGTCATCGAGGATGTGATGCTGAGGGACCTGGAGAAGCTGCTTCCGTTCCCCCTTCAGCTGTTCCGGGACAACTGCGGGGAGACTGACCAAGACACGGAGAAGATGAAAAAAATCCTGGAGGTGGTTAACCAAGTCCAGGATGAGGAGCGGAGGCTGGACTCTGAGGGGGGCTCGGGGACCCTCTCCAGCGTGAGGGGCACCAGGTCCGCCCTGCCACCTCCCGGGACATCTGGGGAAGGGAGTAGCCTTCTGGGAAGACTCCTGGGCTTTGTCGCTACCCCGCTCATCAAGGTCTGCCAGTTAATTTATTACCTTGCCTTCGGGATCCTGAAGTACACTGTGTATGTCCTGTGGTATGTCACGAAGCAGGTGATTAACGGTCTAGAAAGTTGCCTTTATCGCCTGGGGTCAGCCACCATCACCTACTTCTTGACCATCGGGGAGGAGCTGGGCAGCATTCCCTGGAAGGTCCTCAAAGTCACGGTCAGGATCGCCAGGGCCGTGCTCCGGATCCTCTGCTGCCTGCTGAAGGTGGTCTGCCGCGTCGTGGGGGTCCCTGTCCGGGTGCTTGTGGACGTGGCCACGTTCCCCGTGTACACCATAGGCGCAGTTCCAATCGTCTGCAGGGACATTGCCGTGGGCCTTGGTGGCATCCTCTCTCTGCTCTTTGACACGGCTTTTGGCACCATGGGTGGTCTGTTTCAGGTCATTTTTACTGTCTGCAAGCGGGTTGGCTACAAGATTACTTTTGACAATCCTGGGGAGTTATAGAAAAAAAAAAAATCAGTGCCCAGTCCCAGTGAATTTGATTTTTTTTTTAATAGAGAAAGCTGGAATATTTTGTCTATACTATGGGTTTCTGTTCACATCAGTTATATTTTGGCCTTTGGTAGGGGTGTCTGCCTGTTTCAACTTGACCCCAGAGACATGTTCAGGGTGGGATTATGTGTAGGTTGCCTGCTCAGATGTGGGTGAACTTCCAAGCCGTCCACTTCAGTCAGGCACTCTGATACAGGAGACAATGTAAGAGATGCTGGTGTTCATTTGTGATCAGTAAAAATAACAGAAGGAGAAGCTGGAGGAGGACCACTTTAAACCCAACTGTTTCTGAGAAAAGTAGACAGGAATTTACTCCTGCTATTACTCTCTGAGACTCAAGACAAAACTGATATAAGTATTCCTGGCCAATTTGTTAGCATTTTGCTTTTCTTTCTGCCCAACTCAGCTTGACTTGGTGAGGTGCAGACCACTTCCTTGTTGAAATAGCTCTCTTAAGATATAGAATCTGTTACATCCCTTAGCTTTCCATGTCTCCTGAGGATCTGTAAGGTTGTTTTGTTTCTCCAAAGTTGAATTTTGCTGCATTTTCCCTTTGAGTTAATGGTAAACATTATATTCATATATGGCATAACAAATTCTGAATGCAAGGACTAAGATTGTTTGCCCCTTGAATGCTACCCAGGTATAAAAAAGGGAGTGCAAAGATCAGACCTCTGCTCTGAATAGGTGCCATAGGTCTGAGGATATCCTTAGCTAAGCTTGGATTAACTTGACATATATTAAATCTCTGGCTGAGAAGATGGAGCTCAAAGACCTACATGTTAAACTAATACAGAAATTCATATTCTGCAAAATACTAAATCAGTCTTTCTTCTACTTCCAGCAAGTACCCAATACAGTAAAATGCTCTGACTTCTGTCCTTAAATGGTGGTTTTAGTATAAAGGTATAAAAAATAGTCAGAAAATTATAACTTTTCTGGCCATCTTGGAAAACAAAATCCATAGACATATATGTAAGTTTATATGTATATAATCTTGATTAAGAATCATTATCTCAGGAAATTATTTTTATAGTGTGTTTGATTCTAGAAAACATAACTCTCCCATTAAAGCAAGTTATTTATGAGAGCTAATCTCTAATTTTTTGATCAAGCACTTGTCATGTTAATCCTTGCACTGAAAAGCGATAACAGGAGGAAGCTGAAGTTCTCAAACTTTGCTCTGCCTTCCAGAGCTCAGAGGGAATCACCTGGATTTTTCTGAGTGTTCTAAAGAGTTCCTGTGAGGTAGAATAGGACCCAGTGTAAACTACTGATTTGGGGGTGCAGGCCACCGTGCATCTGAAAGTTCAGTGCAGAGACCTGGGGTCCAGAAAGGCAGCAAGGAGAGAAGGATGGGCGAACCATCAGCATCAAGTTGATGCCCAAGAAATGTGAGTGTGATGAGAGTTACTTTTTGCAGAAAAATAATGGAGTTGGACCCGAAGTAGCAGGGCAGCCAGCAGGCTGCCATCCTGATCAGTCTGTTACGTGAGGCAGGGTAGTAGGACACGGACCGTGAACCTATCATAGTGAGCAGTGCACTGGATTATCTAAGACTCTAAAGCAGTATTTTACCAACACTTCTGTTGGTGACTGTAAAAATCTGCAGTCAGGCTTTCCTTCATTTCAGTAGTGTGAGGAGCCATGAGGAGAAGGGTTTGCTTTGGTACTGATGGGTCAGGTAGAATCCTGCCAGATGAAAGAAAGGGAATTTCAGAGGGGACCAGAGAGATGGTCTGACTGGAGATAAGCTTGGCCTGACCAAAGCCGCCTCTGATGAGGAAGCTGACACCTGATGCTAACTGATGGTTGACCCAAGGCCTACCAGGAGCCAAGGTCTTCTGCTTGGGTCCCTTCAAACTTCGGATGTCAGATCTGTGCCTCCCTGGTCTAGGGCCGGGTTTTCTTCATCATCCGTTGAACTGGACTCTGATGAATTAAATGGGTTTGGCCCATGTGATTAAGCAACTAGCCGTCCATGCTCACCAGTATGCTTTCTGCCTCCCGTGGAACTGATGTCCCCTCAGAGTACCTATCTGCATCACGAAAGGCCTATGGGGGCCATCCATGGCAGCTTGAGCCTCTTGGCACCATGCAAGGAGCAGGGCATCTGAACTTTTCTTGAGAACCATTCAAAAATGTCCTCCTTTTCAGTTCTTGTTGTTTAGCGTCTTATTTATTTATTATGGTGTGGCCTTTTTTGAAATCTGGAAAGGGATGATAAAGGGAGAACTAATCCCCAAGGTCAGTAGGTGGCTGGGAGCCTCCACTCTGGACCACTGGCCTTTGCGCTTTTGGCTCACCGGCTCCGGCAGGTGGCCAGACTGCTGTCCCGTCCCAGTGAGCCTCTTTGGCCTTTGGGGTGGGATTTTAAGTTGATGAGCTCCATCTCTGGCTTGAAGCTTTTTCTGTGGGTCTGCTATGTTCTTGGGCCCTTGGAGAGGTCAGCCAGCTCTTCATCACTGTGGAGCTGATTTTCTAGTCTGGATCAGCCACGCCTACAGACACTCCTCTGTTCCACTGTGCCTTTTGAGTATCCACTTCTCACTCAGCATCAGCACTTGCCCCTGAATGCAGATGAAGGAATCTGGAGAAGGAACTAGAGTGAAACACTGGTCATTCATCCATCCAATGTGTATTTGAACATCAAAGTTGCAGAGATCGACAATACGTGCATCCCATCTTTGAGGAGTTCAGATATCTAGTGGGGAGGACGTGGTGCAGCTGATCCATGTACCACATCGTGGTAAGCCTGCAATGGTACTAGCATCCCTGGAGCACAGCAGGAAAACCCACAAAACATGGATGTTGGGGAAGCTTTTATAAAGGGTGTGATGAGTCAATTTGACATTTTCAAGCTATGTACAATGCTGTGCACCTTGCAATGCTCAATAAAATAATTGTTGACAACTCATCAGATGTTCTAGAAAATATATAAAGGGGGAGAATCCTAGAATGAGGTTTGGGGGGTTGTCTTTGATTTTTTTTTTTCCATTTTCTTCTTGATTGACATTAACTCAAACCATTTCCACTCCCATCTGGATTTTTTTTTTTAAATTTTTTAATCATACATGAGAAAACAGAGAGGTTAGGTCGGTGAAATAGGCCCTGGACCTTCTTTCCCATGTTATGTCTCTGAAAAGCTATTTGGGACATGAAATATTTGAAGCGCCTAGGAACCTCCTGCTTCACTGATTCTGAATCACATAGGAAGTTACAGGAACACTCTAAATTTTTTATTCATTAGGAATCCCCTGCCCCCCAGTGTGAGAAATGACACAGTCTCTGGAGGGCGGTGGTCTTCTGTGGTCTTCAGTGGGCACCCAGCCCTGGGGTGGGGATGGCAGTAGCTCTTGACTGCCTTCTCAGTGTGGGCAGGGTCTTATGTGTGATTTGGTGTCTTGTTCAGCATTTCACCTAAACTTGTCACACACTGAGTTTTCAAAATGTTACACTAGGAGCCACGTAGTGTGGACTCCTTGGGCCTTCATAAATAGGTCCTCAGGATTCTCATTGTTTCTCTCTGTAAGTATTTTCTCCCAGATCATGGCTTGATTTCTAATAATTACATTTCAAACCTATTTTTTTTTTCCAATTTGGAGTATAGCTCATTAACAGTGTTGTGATAGGGGGCTTGCCTGGTGGCTCAGTGGTAAAGAGTCCGCCTGCCAATTCAGGAGACGTGAGTTTGACCCCTGATCCGGGAAGCTCCCACTTGCCACGGAGCGACAAATCATTTCCACCACAACTCCTGAGCCTGTGCTCTAGAGCCCGGGAACCACAACTGCTGAACCCAGGAGCTGCAGCTACTGAAGCTCTCGCCCGACTGGACCCCCACGATGAGAAGCCCGCACACCACAACTAGAGGGGAGCTCCTGCTGCCGCAGCTAGAGAAAAGCCCTCACAGCAAAGAGGACCCAGCACAGCTGAAAATAAATGGGTAAATAAGTTATATATATATAACAACATTGTGATAGCTCCAGGAGGACAGCAAAGGGACTCAGCCATACATATACACGTACCCATTCTCCCCTAAACTCCCCTCCCACACGGGCTGTCACATAACACTGAGCAGAGTTCCCTGTGCTATGCAGTGCGTCCTTATTGGTAATCCATTTTAAATAAAATATTATTTTTAAGCCTAAATTTCAACCCAGAAAGCACTGAGACCACTTGTCTTCGTTGATCGTGTGCCATCCAGTTGATGTTGATAATGAGAGGCTCTCGGAAGAGGATCAAGGTCACTCCTGGAAGATGCATTGCCCAATGTAAGCCCAGACTCTGGAGTCAGAATAACTGAGGCTCTGATCCAGGCTTCACTGCTTAAGAACCATGCGATCCTGGGGAAGTTCCCCCCAAAGCCTCAGTTTCCTCGTCTATACAATGGGGCTAGTTATCACTACCTACTTCAGAGAATTGTTATGAGAATTCAATGAGTTAATAAAGATGAAGCATTATCCCCATGTCTGTCGCATGGTGAGTGCCCAGTAAATGTTAATTGTTGTTGTAGAGCTACTGCTGGTCATAATATCTGTGCATCTTGAGTGAAATGACGAAGTTGCCTTAGACGTCAGGACATTTCTGGATCAGAACTGGGAAGGCGAGGGTTAAAGTACAGCCTGGGAGTTGAGGTAGGGAATGAAAAGGAAGGAATCCAGAGCCTCATTGGTGGTGTCAGTGTATCTGAAGAGACAGGCGAGGTCTAGAGTCTAGAAAGGGGGATTCTGAGAACAAGAGCTCTACTTGTTTTCAGTACCTATTCAGAAAGCGATCCCCAGGTTGCTCAGTGGTAAGGAATCTGCCTGACAATGCAGGAGACACAAGGGATGAGGGTTTGATTCCTGGGTCAGGAAGATCCCTCTGGAGGAGGGCACAGCAACCCACTCCAGTATTGTTGCCTGGAGAATCCCATGGACAGAGGAGCCTGGCAGGCTGCAGGCCCTGGGGTC